AGACATCCTGTGCCTCCTTTCAGGCACTTAATCCTCTACCAGTGATCCCACTAGGCATTCGGGAAAAGGACATCTCAGGTAGTTGGTGAAACTCCAGCTTGTTCCTGAACTGACTCACCAAACACTGGTACTACTTGTCCTTTCCTTTCAGTTGATAAAAAATCTTCCCCTGCCCAAAAAATATTTCAAAGCTGTTTCTCCTTGCTCTTTCCTCACTCCCTGCTCTAGATTAGGAGGGAATCTGACCTGCAGCACAGCAGATCCACAACCTAAATCCTATGTCCCCATAGCACTCTGTCCAGGCCTTCTTGAAAATCAGTCTGTCCATGTCAGCGTTTATAATGAGTGTATCTCACCTCCTGCTCTGACACTAGGTAATTGATGAAAGCCTTGATTGACAGCTCCTCTTCCTGTCGAGGTGACCATGGGACACCAGGTGACCACTGTACTCAACTCTTTATTTTCCTATTCCACTGAATCCTTAAACTTTAATTACCACCCCCCTAGCAACTTGGGGCACAGACAGCTTAAATCACACATCCAAGTCACACAGCTAGTTTGAAGCTAGACCCAACCTTCTTAATGATTTGCTATAACTAGCAATTGTGTTGAAGTTGGCATTTTATAAACCACTTTCATAGGCTGGCAGTGTATCTCAGCAGTTGAGTCCTCACCTACCTAGGTTCAATCTCTAGCACCTTGGAAATAAAACAACAGAGAACACACACACACACACACACACACACACACACACACACACACACTCACACTTGCATCCATATAATTAGTTCAGTTAATCATTCCTCCAATAGATGTACTCCATCTATCATTCCAACTGATCCTCAGAAGGAACCTGATAAAGCCCATGGCAAGGCCCTCTGGTGTGTATGGATTAGAGCAGCACAGGGCCAAAGAGGAGGCAAGAACCGAGCTGGCACAGATCACACATTGTGTCAGGGAGCTGCAGAGAAAGCTCTAGGGATGGAGCGGGGCGGGGGTGTTGGCATGTGAAAAATCCACCATGCACACACACTCACTAACACACACACACACTCACACACACCATACACCACATACCCCCCCCCACACACACCATATACCACAAACCATACACACACACTCCCCACCCCCACACATATGCCACACACACACACACACACCACACACACATATACCACACACACCACATACACATATCACACACACATACACCACACACACATATACCACACATACACATACACATATCACACACACATATGTGGTGTCAGCTAAAATACCTGTTAGGCCCAGAGGACACAGAACCATCTTATGAAATTGTCATGGGTACGACTTTTTCTTCCTTTCCTGCCTCTCACTTCTGCCTGCCCCTTCTCCTTCCAGGAGGGGTCAGAAAGAGCAGCTGGTGATCTGTGTGCGGAAGAACATGGACAAGAAAACAAAATTGTCCCCAACCTACAGAGCCTATTCAGCATGAGCTGAATTAGGAAAGGGGAGAGAACGTGCACTCTAAGTGAGCGGGAAATCCCAATGATTATGTGGCCCCAAGGTCTGCAGTCCTCGTGGTTAATTCAACTAAGTCTTCAAGCTCATGGTTTAAAATCATGCAAGGTTGTTGATTTCCTATGAGTAACCAGAGAAGCATGAATTGACCTGTGCTTTCATTCAAGGACAACAGAAAGGGGTGTTTGGAAAAAAGAGAGAAAAGAATAACTACTTTCTGGTTATAGATAGTAATTCTGAGAGAGAAGGACCAGGAAAGCTTGGTTGGGTAATGACAAATCAGAAGATACCATAAACAGGAGTCACAATTAATCCAATTTCCTGCCCCTGGGATTCTAAGAGAAAAGAGAATTCACAAAGCATATATGTAAACATCAGTGTAGTAGTGTGACCCATAGAGAAAAGAATTCAAAACCCACAAAATGCCACGCCCACGACGGTGTCGCCCGCGTGACAAATGCCTTGGATGAGGTGGTTACATGGGAAAGGGGGGCTCGCGGCCCTCGGGTCTATGCCCCCGGCGACCCCTTATCAATCTGCCCGAATCATGGTGCCAGGCTACATGGAACCACGCAAAATCTGCTTGCAGAGGCTGGCTGGCACTCTGCTTTTTTCTCTTTGCAGCTGTGACTATTGCTGTTTCCTTGTGTATTGATTTCAGGGAGTTAGCTCTCAATGTTTCTGATGTGCCCCATAAAGAGAATAATGATTCCTCAAAAGTGGCCTCAATACCCCCACCTATAATTCAAGCTTTTAGGCAAACAGTTAAAGAGGGTCCTAGAAGTTTGGGGGAATTTATGAATGACTTAGAACAAAAAGAACTTATGACTCAGAGGGACAAAGATTCTAGCGAGGAGAGATGAAAGTAAAAGTCCAGGAACTCATAAGCAATCCACACGCGCAGCCAACAGCAGCTGCAAGGAAGCAGTTACAGGAACTAGCCAGTCCTACAAGAATTATCAAGGGACAAATAGAGTTTCTCATCAAGGGTCGGTGGTGGCAACCCCCTAACTTTAATCCTAGATATAATAATTATTTGGAGCCTTTGCCCTTTACGGGAGCTTATGATAAACATGGGAACCAATGGGTGAATCATAATAGTACGAAAACAGAATGGCATAAGTTACAGTTCATGGAAAGAATAGCTAGGTCCCAACCCCCCTGGTGCCTTCTCACCTGCAAGCAAAGGTTAAATATTTTCACACAAATGAAACCATGGTTAGAACGATGGTGGGAAGGGTTTAATTTTGATACAAAACAAAGGTCTAATAATTACGTAGAAGGAAAAACTTCAGCTAGGGCCGTAATGTTCTCTGTCTGGATGAGGGACCACAAAAGAGGACATAACACCTGTACTCATGAGATCTATTAATCATTCTGAGAAAATTGTGTGACCACATTGTTAATTCTATGTCTATCGCCCCACTGGCCGATTGCCATGTTTCCTCAAACGAATGTATAAAAAACACTGCTTGATCTGAGTAAAATTGCAGCAGTTCACAGCATACTCTGGTGTCTGTGTCTGTCTGTCATTCGCCGAATCCCACTTATCCTGAGTACCTTCAACCCGTTCTCCCTCGGTCTGGTGTTCCTACTGAGAACCAGTCCGCGGCAACAAAACCCAAAACAAAACTTCATCTGGAGTTGCCAGGCATGATGGCACCTGTCTACAATCCTAGCTGCTGGAGGTGGTGGCCTGAGGATGGTGAGTAGCAGGCTAGCCTGGGCTATGTCGCTTGACCCTGTTCAAACAAAGAGTCAAACAAAAAATAAAAACCCACAAGTGGATGCTGATATGTAAGATGATATAATGTATAAACCATAAAAATGGCTGATTTACCTCAACATGGCAGTTGTTAAATACACTCCTCCTCTTGCCCAGTGTGTGTGAGTGTGTGTGTATGTGTACAGATTTGTACAGTATGTGTGAGTGTATGTGTGTGGTGTGTGATGTATGTGAGTGGTGTATGTGGTGAGTGTGTGTGTGGTGTGTGGTGTATGTGTGTGTATTTGGTGTGTATGTGGTGTATATGTGATGTGTGGTGTGTGTGTGTGTGGTGTGTGTGATGTATGTGTGTGTGATATACGTGATGTGTGGTGTGTATGTGTAACAAGACAGAAGCTCTGTGAAACACTTGGCATTTTGTGTGCAACAGAAACAAAGGTTTCACGAAACAATGCCAATATTTGGCCTATATAATGGCCTCTGGTAGTTTTTCTTTTGCCCTAGCCTTGTCTGTGTCTTTAAAAATGTGCAGGTAGGACACATTTCAAGCCTTAAAAAATAGGTCACCATTCTTGAAATCAAGTAGCTTTGATCACACTGCCCTGAAAAGTAGCTGTGCTCAGGTGTAGTCTCTCTTCAGTGTGTGGAATTCTCCCCTCTCCGCCATCCTGTTTATACTCGGAGTGGTCAGATTTCAGCTGTGGGGATGCAAAGTGGTAACTTACACTGATTTAAATTTACATCTCCATGGAATGTACGTATCTTTGTGAATGGGGACTGAACCCAGGGCCTCGGGCATAGTTGGCACACGTGAGCTCTGTCCCCGACCTTCATGCATTTGACATAAACCAGACTTGGAGATCCTTTTAACAGCCCCTTCAGTTTTGTCTCCTCTTTTGTGAATTGCCTATTTCTATGTTCTGTCTGTTTTCTTAATGAGTTGTCTCTTTCTTACTGATTTATTAGTTATAAAATTTTGTTGTTCTTGATCCTGAGCCTATGTTATTTATAGACTGATTTTCCCCCAATTTGAAGACGTACATATCATCATTAGACAGCATCTCGTTGTGAAGCACAGACTGCCTTAAATTTGTGACAATGCCCTTCCTCAGCCTCTCAGGTGCTGAGGTCACAGGTGTGAGCTACCATGTCCAGCTGAGCCTTATGCAGAATGATAGGAATGTAGCAATTACTTTTTTACATGTTTCGCCTGTATGTGTGTCTGTGCATGTCTGGTGCCGGCAGAGGCCAGAAAAAAGCATCGGATCCCCCAGGGAACCGGAGCTACAGGGGGTGTGAGCTGCCATGTGGATGCTGGAACAGGAACCGTATCCTCTGTTAGACCAGTGAGTGCTCTTAACCGCTGAGCCATCTCCCCAGTCTGAGAAATGTGGCAGTTTCTCACATTAGGCTCCTGTGTATTTTAAGAAAACCCTCCCTATCTCTGAGGTCATAAAAGGTTCTTTACAGTTTCTACTAGACCTAAAAGTTTTGTTTTATATATTCGGTTCTTCATCCAGAATCAGCTTGTATTGAAGTCCCACGTCCAAGCATCTCCATCCTCCTCTTCCTCCTCCTCTTTTTTTTCCCCTTCCCCTCTTCGGTCCAGACAAAGGTAATGCTGATGTGTGCATTCCATACCCACGCCTGGTCCTGGGTGGACACTTTGGGGGAGATTCCCACCCGTTCTGCAGGAATCTGACGGCAGGGGGCGCTGTGCGGAGCCGCGCTGGGTGCGTCGGGCTCTCTGGCACGTCCTCTCGCCTCCTCCGGGCTTCCGGCGTGGTTTCTGCGCGCCAGCATGGACCGTAACCCGACGCCTCCGCCGCCTAGCTGCGATCCGGAGGACGAGGAGGACCTGGCCGGGGGAGACTGCATTGGGAGCACGGTCTACAGCAAGCACTGGCTCTTCGGCGCCCTCAGCGGGCTCAGCCAGGTGGAGAGACTCGCGCAGGCGCCCTCCGGGTTCGCGGTGCCAATTCCTAACTTCCCAGAGCACCACCACGCACATACTTCACTCGGATTTTGCTTCCCAGCCCCATTGTCACTTCTGAAGTCGAGACTCCGCCATTCCTGTTTTGTCGGCTCTTGTCATAGTGGAGTGCATAGTTTGGAGTCAGACAGCCCTGATCTCCAAGACAGGAGCTCATCCCATGCTGGAAGCGTGACTCGTTAACCCAGAGCCTCGGTTTCTTTCACACTTTGTATAAAATAGGATAACCAGTATTGTCGTACACAGGTTTTTTATGTAGATTGAGATTATAATGACAGTAGAGTACTTGAAATGTGTTTGGTTTACAGAACTGTCAGATTTTTCTGCATACTGCCTTCCCCACCACCAATTCCTGTTTTTGTTTTTGTTATTTTCTGGAACCATTTTCTACATAGTGGCCAAAACAGTGTATATACATATACATATACATATACATATACATATACATATACATATACATATACATATACATATACATATACATACACATACATACATATGTATATGTATGTATATATGTTTTTCGAGACAGGGTTTCTTTGTGTAGCTTTGCACCCTTTCCTGGAACTCACTCTGTAGACCAGGCTGGCCTCGAACTCACAGAGATCGCCTGCCTCTGCCTCCCGAGTGCTGGGATCAAAGGTGTGCGCCACCACCGCCCGGCTTAAAGAATACTTTTGTTGCTCATAAGAGAAAACTTGATTCCTGGAGAGGCGATAGACTAATCATTCTCTCTCAGGGTCTGGAGACAGAATTCTGGAGGGGTGGTTCGGCAGTTAAGAACACTGGCTGGTCTTACAAAAGACCAGAGTTCAGTTCCCAGCACCCACAGGGTGATTCAAAACCGTCTGTAATTCCAGTTCCAGGGGATCCCACGCCCACTTCTGTCTTCTGCAATCACCAGACAGACTATGGAGATTACATACAGACAGAACAGCTTTACATTAAAAAAAAAGATAGAGAGAGAGAGAGAGAGAGAGAGAGAGAGAGAGAGAGAGAGAGAGAGAGAGCTTTCTGTTTCTTAACTGGGGCTCCAAGGCTGGTCTCACCCCCTTCAGCCTCCTTTTACTTAACTTAACGTTGTGTTCCATCACCAGTAGTCTGTTGGCCATCTCCAGACGTGTACTGTGCTTTCTGAACTCTTGAATGCACCTCTGAATGCTCATCTCGTTTCCCCAGGACAGACTCGTGCCCTTCACTTTCTTCTTTTAAGAGAAATGTCTTTCTTCTCCCAGGAACAGGTCATTGGTCCTTCGTTTTTCCTCCCATAGCCCTTCACCAGTTCAGCTAAGTCCGCCTTCTCTATTGTGACTCAGTTTCCATGTCTTTTCTACACTAATCCTAAACTGTTTGAAAGCGCACGTTTATTGTTGACATTTCATTCCTGTGTTTTTCTGTTGCCTACAGACACTGTTTACTCCAAGAATATAGAACGTGTAGATCTATCCAAGGCTCTAGGTTTTAGAAACTGTTTTGCCAGAGGAAATGCTTTAGGGATACTCTCTTGGAGACTTCTAAGTGATAATATTACTTGGAGAATTCTGAGTATTTTAACTGATCTTTTTTTTATGTTTCTGAAGATTGTCACACTTGAAAGTGACAAGTCCGGCTCAGATGATGATGAGCAGCAGATGGAGCTTGCTGAAGAAATGGAGAATGAAATTTGCAGAGTCTGGGATATGTCCATGGGTGAGGTATGAGGATGGAAGTGAAATTCTGAAAAGACTCAAGAGTGAAGAGGTTTTAAAAAGATTCATTCCTTCACTGTTCAAGGGACTGTAGTCTCTCCAGTTTGTGGTTCAGGGTATGAAGTCTTAGGAGCTATTAATGTAAAAATTGTGCCTTGAACATATGTACAGTTTCGTCCTATGGACAGCATAGTGTATTTAACATAAATGTGAACTAAGATAGCTATGACATCACTAGACAGTATGCTGTGGGATGTTCTGTATGGCAAATGTGTTGCTGATTTGTCAATAAATAAAACACTGATTGGCCATTGGCTAGGCAGGAAGTGTAGGCGGGACAAGGAGGAGAATAAAGCTGGGAAGTAGAAGGCTGAGTCAGAGAGACACTGCCAGCTGCCACGATGAGAAACAGCATGTGAAGATGCCGGTAAGCCACGAGCCATGTGGCAAGGTATAGATTAATGGAAATGGATTAATTTAAGCTGTAAGAACAGTTAGCAAGAAGCCTGCCACGGCCATACAGTTTGTAAGCAATATAAGTCTCTGTGTTTATTTGGTTGGGTCTGAGCGGCTGTGGGACTGGCAGGTGACAGAGATTTGTCTTGACTGTGGGCCAGGCAGGAAAACTCTAGCTACAGCAGTATAATTTCATGGGACCACTGACATACATATATATACATATATATATATATATATGTATATATACATATACACATGCATACATATGTATGTAGTCATCATCGACTGAAACTCTATTATGTAGTGTGTGTTTTATAATTGGCATACCTCACAGCTAACAGATTTAGCTTTTGTACCTTATATTCCTAGGTGAGAGCCATCTCTTTGGGGTCACATGTCCACTCTAGTTTCATCTGTGTGGTATGCCCCTTTAGGTGATGTGGGTGGAACAAAATCTCCAGGGAGAACGTTCCAGGCTACTGTAGTTACTTTGTGAACAGAATTTTTTTTCTGTTAATTACTACCCCTCACCACCACCCCTTCATTTATTTTTTTTTCTTTGAAGGATTTTGGAAACCCAAGTCCCAATATTGGACGTAACTCAGTAGCACTTATCTCAGTTTTAGGTTCTTACAGGGTAGGATTTAGGAGTTGATTCCTTCTCCATACCCCTTTCTCACCCCTAGCTTCTAACTTAAATCTGGCAGTCAGCAAATGTGTTTGGATAAGTTAATGAGAATTCTGGATGGACAGAAAAAATGTATTCGGTGCAGAATAAAAGGAGGGCTCTTCTCTGGTGTGTCTCAGTCAGGGTTAGATTTGCTTATGAGTTTGTTCTGTCTTGGGACCGAGTACCACAAAGACTCTTCTGGTACTTTTGTCTTTTTATTTGGTTGGGTTTTTTGTTTTGTATTTTTCAAGACAAGGTTTCTCTGTGTAGCCCTGGCTGTTCTGGAACTCACTCTGTAGACCAGGCAGGTCTCAGACTTACAGAGATCACCTGTCTCTGCCTCCCAAGTGCGGGGATTAAAGGTGTGCACCACCACTTCCTGGCTTACTGTGTCTTTTTGACACTGTTCCTGATCTTTGATTTTTCCCTTGTGGATGAAAGGAAGTAAGTATGAAATTAAACTTTTAGGGTTGTCTGAGCTCTGGAGCTTGAGCAGTATGCAGCATCTAAATTGCTAATCATTTTTGTTTGTAGGATGTGGCTTTATTTCTCCAAGAATTTAAGGCTCCTGACATATTCATGGGAGTGCTGGCCAAATCCAGGTGCCCCCGATTAAGAGTAAGTGTGTACAGTTCTTCTCTCTAGTTTTGCTTATGCAAATAAATCGGTGTAAAAATACTTATTGAACATTCTTAGATAACATACTCCTTGAAATGACTAGATATGTAGAATTTTAGATTTGGATTAGATTAGGGAGAGCAATAATTTAACAGCTGTGGAAACCAGATAGGCATAACCATACTAGGCTGCTAATAAGTGACAGAACCAGAAACAGTGCCTAGACCCGCTGTTTATTTCTCAGTTCATTGTTCTTCTTATTCACAAAGCCCTCCATTGCCTAACAATGTCTTAAAGTTGTTGCTGGTCAGGACTCCCACAGTCTGATTGTGAGAACTCTGGTGTACAATCTACCTGCATGCTCTTCCTGGTCGAGGGCGGTCTGCATCCCGGCTCACCAGCATGCCACCATTTCTGGCCTTCCCTTCCCTTTCAGTCTGTTACTCAGTGTGGCACTTTTCTGCCTTGTGGTCATTGCTGAGAGCAAGCTCCCCAGAGCAGCAGCTGGAACTCTGTGAGTGGTGCAGTGCCCCGAGCTTTCCTGTCTGTCTCTGTGTGCAGTGCACTCCGTGAGCAGGCCAGTGCCCCGAGCTTTACTGTCTGTCTCTGTGTGCAGTGCACTCCGTGAGCAGTGCAGTGTCCTGAGCTTTACTGCCTGTCTCTGTGTGCAGTGCACTCTGTGAGCAGTGCAGTGTCCCGAGCTTTACTGTCTGTCTCTGTGTGCAGTGCACTCCGTGAGCAGTGCAGTGCCCCGAGCTTTCCTGTCTGTCTCTGTGTGCAGCGCACTCCGTGAGCAGTGCAGTGCCCCGAGCTTTCCTGTCTGTCTCTGTGTGCAGTGCACTCCGTGAGCAGTGCAGTGTTCCGAGCTTTCCTGTCTGTCTCTGTGTGCAGTGCACTCCGTGAGCAGTGCAGTGTCCCGAGCTTTCCTGCCGTGTCTGTCTCTGTGTGCAGTGCACATGATGTGTGATTGTCAGTGTGTGTTGGGTGACTGTAGTCTATGAACATGCACGCTCTACTCTTGGCCTTTACTCCTCCTTTGAGACACACGTAATAGATAAAGAGCCGAGTCTCAGACTTATTCCTTTTATCAACTTTGTTCCCTTTAAGTTTCTGGCCTGGATATCTGATACTCTCTCTGGAGCTGGAGAGGAGGAGGGAGGCCTTCACCAACATTGTGTATCTGAATGACATAAGCCTGATGGAAGGGGACAATGGTATGTAAATTCCAAATGTAACTCCTCATTGTGGTTATCTGGAAGTCTTTCCTCACTTTTCAGCAAGAAAATTTGAACATTTTAGAGGTTGTCTACATAGTTTAGATAACTGTTAAAATTGTGGGGGCCTTGCCTAGTCTTTGGTATATTATGGTTTTGTTTCTATTTAATAACTGCTTAACGTTTTAAGCACTATACTCCGTGTTTTTACATGCTGTTGTAAGTGAGATAACTCTTGGGATAGATGGTCTCAGAACTGGACATCTGCCTTTCATTCTTGCCCACTTTAAAGCTCTTTCTGTTCAGCAGCTCGAATGAGTCTTTAAAAAAAAAAAGAAAAAGAGGGCTGGCAAGATGGCTGAGCAGGGAAGAACACTTGGTGTTCTTGCAGAAGACCAGAGTGGTTTCCATCACCTAATGTTGGGTGGATCATACTTGCCTATAATCCTAGTTCCATGGACTTTAACACCCTTTTCTGGCTTCTGTGGACACCTGCACACATGCTCTCATATACCTGACATGATTCATAAGTAGTGATTTGTTCATCTATGTAAGCCTTTATAACCTGATTGCTGCAGGAGTGTGGAGGTTGATTCTGTTTTGTTCCTTGTTGCATATCCAGGAAGCTTGAGGGTGATTTTAATTCTGTGTGTTCGGAAGGTTTGTGCTGAAGTGAAGAGACTCTGTTCTTGAATGTCTTTGTTTGGTCTTAAGTGTTCTTACAGTTCTCACGTTTCATGTATGGAGCCTGTATGCGCTGTGTTTCTGCGTGCAGGGTGGATCCCTGAGACCTTGGAGGAATGGAAGCTTCTCCTACATCTACTACAGAACAAGAGCACGAGGCCAACTCCTCAGGAGTCACTGAATGGGAGCCTCAGTGATGGGCCTGCCCCCATCAATGTGGAGAATGTGGCACTCTTGTTAGCTAAGGCCATGGGCCCAGATCGGGCTTGGTCACTGCTACAGGAATGTGGTCTAGCCCTTGAGTTGTCGGCAAAGTTTACCAGAGCCTGTGACATCCTGAGGATCGCTGAGAGAAGACAGAGGTAATGCCAGGCTGCCGTACACTGTGGTGCCTGCACATGTAGACTTGCACAGACTTTCAGCAGTAGGTAGATGGGAGTGCAGAGATCATGTAGTCTCAACCCCTCACTAGCACACGAGGAGACTGAGACACATCTGCTGATTATGGTTTAAATGAAGAGGCCAAAGTAAAATTTTACTCATCAGCATGATCAAGGTACTCTTCAGCTTAGTGTGAGTGCCCCACTACCATGCATCCTCAGTTCTCTAAGAATGGTATTGATACAGGTCTGTGAGCTTGCTGCCTAGTAGGCCAAGGCAGGAGAACCATGAGTTCAAAGACACAGGGGATTTAGTGAAATCCCGTCTCAAAAGTGACAAGAGGCGGGGCATGTGGCTCAGTGGCAGAGCATTTATTTATCATGCATGAAGCCCTGAATTCAATATCCAGTTTAAAACACAAAGCAAAACTATTTACTTAAATATTACACACACACACACACATTTATTTTCTAAAGTTTTTCTTTTTCTATTTGTGGTAAAATAGATGTTGTAGAAAAAAACAAAACAACAACAAACAAAAAACCATAGGCAAGTGTGATGGCACACACCTGTAATCTCAGCTCTGGGGCGGCTGAGACAGGAGGATCAGCAGTTCAAGGCCAGCCTGGACTGTATAGCATTAACTACCTGTCTTAAAAAAAAGGAAAAGAAGCCGGGCGGTGGTGGCGCACACCTTTAATCCCAGCACTTGGGAGGCAGAGCCAGGCAGATCTCTGTGAGTTCAAGGCCAGCCTGGTCTCTAAAGAGAGTTCCAGGAAAGGCACAAAGCTACACAGAGAAACCCTGTCTTGAAAAACCAAAAAAAAAAAAAAAAAAAAAAAAAAAAAAAGGAAAAGAAAAGAAAAAGAAAGCAAATCCATGTGAAATTTGCTGTCTAGAGCATTTAGTGATTCAGTGTGTGCAGGTTGCTGTGCAGCCAGTTTCTAGTCTATTTTCCTCTGAATTGATGGGCCAGAGCTATTAAACAGGCCTTCATTCCCATACCCCTGACAACCATCGTTCCACTTTCTGTTGAGTTGGAGCATCCCAGATGCCTCATCAAAGTAGAATGATAACAATATAGGTTGAGTATCCCATAGCTAATAGACCTGGGAACGGAAGTATTCCAGGTTTCAGAGGTTTTAGATTTGAGAAGAGCTTCTCAACTGGTAGTGATGCTGAATGAATATTTGTGCTTACCAGCTTTGAAATCATCCTTGGAGAAATAGCTAAGTCTATTGCCATTTTAGAGTCAGGTTGCTAATTTAGCTGTGGAATTCCACCATATTCTAAATGTCCAGATGCCTCTTACCAGGTAGGATTTGCATGTACTTTCTCCCATTCCAGATTGCTTGTTCATTTTGTTGATCGCTTCCTTTTTTCCCAACACTGGGCATTGAACCCGAGACCTCATCTATGCCTGGCAACATTCCAGTTCCCGAATGATGATGTTCCCAGCTCTCTGCTGGTTTCAGCCTTTGTCTTTTATCACAGTGTTTTGAGTCCTCTTTAGTCTTTAGAGTTTTTGCTTTGCTATTAAGAATGAACTAAGACAACTGAATTTGCTTGTTTCCTTCTGTGGAATTTCAGAGCGCTGATACAAGCCATGCTTGAGAAGTGTGACCGGTTCCTCTGGTCACAGTAGGCCTAGTGGGAGATCTGTCAGGACATGGTATCATTTTGACCAAGTGGAATCCTGCTCCGGAAACTTCAGAGGACTTTGCCACAGAAGGAAAAGGGGAACCCCAAACCATGCCAGGAACAGAACCTGCCATGCTGCTGCAGCTGCTCTTGCCACCATCTCCACCTTGGCACTTGGCTCTTGTGGCTCTATGACCTCAGAGTTTATCAACCAGAGTTGGCTCTTGGGAGAAGTTGGTCATGGTTCAGTGGCCCGAGCATGGGACTGCTCACCGCCATGTGGTGTTCAGTGCGTACACAGTAGTGTTTGTGATGTTAGTGCATCAGGGAATCGTTTTCTACTGTGGCAGATCTGTTGGGGGCAGACGCTTTGCTCCATGAGGACAGATAATATTGTGAACTGGAGTTCAGTACTATTTACACTTGTCTGAGGCCATCTAGAAATTACCGAGTTAAGACTTAGAACAATGACATTGTTTTTGTTGACATATGTAATAAACATTGAAAATTCAAACTAGAGTTTTAAATAAAATTGCGCATATCTGAGTTGAACTCAATTTAAAGTATTTTTCCAGTATTTATTTGATATTTTCTATTCTAAACTTACATATACTGACTCATAACTGGAAATATATTATCTGTAATTTTAAAAGAATATTACCCAAAAGAGTCATGCACTTTTTTTCTTTTCCTTTCTTTTTTTGGAAACAGGGTCTTACTTTGTAACTCTAGCTAGCCTGGAACATGCTAGAACAGGTCGGCCAGGCTGGCAAAGACCTTCGAGATCTGCCTTCCTTTCTCTGCCTTCTAAGTGTTGAGATTAAAGGTGTGTGCCACCCCCCCCCACTTTTAAAAATTATTTTTAAAGAGCTATGGTAAGAGAAAGTCAAGCACTAATGTAAGTTATAACAAATGATGGTGTTATTTAAGCCATGTTACTAGATTGTCATTTGTGAGCCTTTACTTTATGTTGTATTGGTAATAAATGATGAAGGTTTTGTTTGAGCAGAACGTGGACATGAGATTGATTTCTGAGAAGTTTGCAGGAACATCTTGGGTAAATCCAGTGTGGAGTGGTGTTAGACATACTGAATAAGTGACCTCTTTCTTTCCCCCCATTTACACCAAGCCAGAGAAGCACACGTTCTGTCGTACCTACCCATGACGTGGATAGGACCTGCCCTGGTAGACTGAAGTGGTTGTCAGGGAAACAAGGCAGCACCTGGGTTTGGGGTGTGTTGGCTGACGCTGAATGTGAGACTGCATTGAGGTAATGGGAGAGAGCTCTCCCTTCACTTTCTGCCTTGGTCACTACACAGTGGCCGAAATATAGCCCAGAGCATGTCTCAAGGCAAGCAGATGCCAAGAACTGGCATGGCTGCCATTATGTCCTCATCTCCCTGTCTAGGGCAAGTTACCACAATCGTTATTTCCCAACAAGTATTCCTGGCCCACGTCACGTGAATTTATTTTCCAAGGCAAAGAAAATAAAATCCTCTTCAGCCAAACGTTGACATTAGAACAGTCTGAGCGTGAGGCCGTGTTTTCACATCTGTTGTTTGCTGAAAAGTTCAGGACACACGCGATTTGTGGTTGTCTCGCTTTCAATTTTGTGTCTGTATCTGACAACTGACCGCTACAGAGTGACAGAGCAGACAAGAGCTTGTCCTGTGAGGGTGGCCGCTCAGCCTGGGTGTATCTCCCCACTAATGATCTTGGTGAGGTACTTTGTCTCTTTTAAGTTTTGATTGTGTGGTTTAAACGATAGAGAGCTTTACCGTGGGATCTGGCACCTAGGAACTGAGTGTAGAGCCACCTGCCCAGGAGTAAGAACTGACACTCCATGTAGAACAGGTAAATGGGTCACTGAGATCTGCCTGCCTCTGCCTCCCAAGTGCTGGGATTAAAGGTGTGCGCCACCACTGCCCAGCTATGTCATAGTATTTTCAACCCTCCCATTGAGTAACATTTCATAGTAAACTGTACTATTTCATGGGTATGTGTGACCTTGTGGATATGCTTTGGGAATGCCTTGGGACTCAATCGACCTTTATGCCCCCAGGAAGCCCCATGTGCACTCACAGTAACAGAATCTGCTGCTTGGGAGAGCTCCTGCTCTTGACTTAGTGCTCTGTTTCCTCAATCTTGAAATTCTAAATGGTTTCTGTAGTAGGGCACCCGCATTTCTGGTTTTCATGGTACTCACAAATGAGGTGATCCTAAATGTCACAACAGAACTGGTGGGGATCCTGAGGTTTTGTACTTCTGACAAGATTCAAGGTGACTGATGTTTCTGGCCTTCAGATCATAATTTGAGGTGCAAGACTGCAGTGTGGTAAAACAGCTTGGAAGGAATGTGAAGTGCAGAGCTGAAGCCCGTGGTGGCTGAGATATGGGCCCTAAACTGCTAAGTGTGAGGTGCATCTGTAGGTTCCATAGGCTTCAGTATTTGGAGTTACTGTTGTCACAGCAATTTAGCCTTACCTCAGTGAAAGATGTGTGCTAGAGGAAGCCGCCTGTGAGGTGTGCAGTGGAAACAGCTCCAGGCAGAGTCAGCCTCTCTTCTCCTGCAATGCCAGAGGGTACTCATGGAATAGTGTTTCAGTTCTGTGGTTTTAGAGACTGAGTTTGAACCATAGGAAAAAGGTCCCTTAGACCTCACAGTGCAAGGGTTGTACTTTGAGTCAGGAATAAGGGTGGAGAGACCAGTGTATCAATTGCCAGGACTCCAGGGGTTCCTCTTCCCAAAGACAAAATGAAGTGGTAGCTAAAGGGTATAAGGCCTGGGAGCCGAGAAGAGGGATGACAGCACTGTCTTAATTAGAGTTTCTGCTGCTGTGAACAGACACCAATAACTTGACAACTATTATAAAGGAAAACATTTAATTGGTGCTAACTTACAGTTTCAGAGGTTCAGTTTATTATCATCATGGTGGAGAGCATGGCAGTGCACAGGCAGACATGGTGCTGGAGAAGGAGCTGAGAGTCCTACATTGATCTGCAGGTAGCAGGAAAAGCTACCACTGAGCCTGAGCTAAAGCATCTGAGACCTCAAAGCCCACCCCCACAGTGACTCACTTCCTGTGACAAGGTCACATCCATTTCAATAAGGCCACTCACTCCTCCTAACAGTACAGGTCCCTGTAGGGACATATGAGTCTACAGGGCCATACCTTTTCAAACCGCCACAAGGACTGATTGATTGGGTGGGCAACTTGAGATCTGAACACAGGTCTGGAAACAGCAACAGAATAAGTGGCCAGGCCTCACTCAGTTCGACAGGGCAGGAGGTGGCCTGGTGGGCCCTGTGAGGTGTTTGGTTGGGTTGCCAGAGATGGAAAGTGAAAGAGCTCTGGGAAAGCCCTTCTGTCAGTGAAGGGACAGGAGGGAGGAAACAGGCGGACTTTAAAACGGGAGGAGATCAGCAGCAGGACAAATGAAGCAGGCATGGATTTGGGACAGTGCCCCTCAGAAGGATGAGACTTGCAAGCATGTGGCTGTAGGCCACTGGATGGAAGGTAAAGCTTGTGGGGTGTCATAAGACAAAGGCAACAAACGGGAAACCCCTCACTGAGGTGTCAGTCAAGTGCTTGTCAGAAAGCAGCCTCTGCATGCAGCTAAACCTAGTGGCAGGCAGCTGGGGTTCTAGCAGCCATCCTGGGAAGTTGCCCCCAACAGGGCACTGCCAGGGAGGGGCAGGGAGAGCCAGCCATGGAAAGAAAGGTAAGGTATGTACTTCTGAATCCCTTGGCAATCTAGCTGGGCTGCCACTGAACCTGTGGGAAGCAGACTTGGATTTTGTTAGTCCTAAAACTCTCTGGGGTGAGGGGTACTGGGGGTCCCAGAAACACCAGCTGGAAAGAAGCCAAGTGTACAGAAGCAGGGGTCTTATTTCGGGCTTGCCTTGGCAGCGCCCTCTTCTGGCAGAGAAGACAAATCACAGGAGGGCACGGGGGCTCAGAGTGGAATTGAGTACTCTTCAGGGGAGGAGATGGGTTATTGTTGGTTATGCCATGGCGCTGCCCCTCGTGGCTGGTCGGGGGCCATGCCCGCGGAGGAGCATGCTGATTAAAAGAATCATAGCCATGGTTACCTTTTTAGAGCTTTATTGGGGGGGCGGGGGAGAGAGAGAGAGAGACAGAGAGAGAGAGAGAGAGAGAGAGAGAGAGAGAGAGAGAGAGAGAGAGAGAGAGAGAGAGACAAGGGGGGAGAGGGAGAGAGGGGGACCGACGGGGGGGGGGGGAAGGAGCGCAAAGGAGAGGGGACAGAGAGAGCCCACAGAGGGCCCAACCGCTTTTTAGGCTGGGAAGCCAGCGAAGGCTGATGACGTAATTAAAGGACATAAATAAGGACCAAATCCTTACATCCTAGACTTTCCCTTATTATAAAAAAAGCAGGTAGATGGGACTAGGGGCGTCGTTCCTCTCAAAAACTGCTTCCAGCTGACTTTTGGATGTTGGTTGGCTCTTGGGGGAATGGAGAAGGGGAGTCTTCCGAGGTAGGCGTTGTGGGATGCTGTCTGTCATCCGTTTGCTCTGGAGACATGTATCCCTCTTGGCTGTGTCTGGGAACTTTCTGTTTGACAAGATGCTGGTGACACAGAAAAAACTTAGAGAGATAAAAGAATCATTATTATTTTATGTTGACATTTATCTGAGGTAGATCCGGCCTGTCCCTATGGATTTTGAAACATGTTAAGCTTTATCAGAGACAGATTATTTTAAAGCACCTGTTTCCTTTACTGGTTCAGCATCTAGGAGACAGGTGATCAGTTGTTAAAATCTCATAGTAATAGATGTTTACATTAAAGTCTTTTTGTAGCGCCCAGACGCTTTTGGGTCTGGGGGTGTAAATACCTTTTAGCTGTTACAGTTTCTTATTCGATGATCTCTGAACTCTGGTTTTTAGCTGTTACAGTTTCTTATTCGATGATCTCTGGACTCCGGTTCTGTGGTGGTCCTGTTCCATTAGCTGAACAGTGAGTTAGAACAGGGAACTGGGAAGAGAAAAGCTTGTGGTGTATGAGAAATTTTTTTTTTTTAATTAGGGACAAGGCAAAGATCAGGGCCCTGTCTCTATGCACATGAGAAACACACGCAGTGGATCTGGAGTGAAGCAATGAGCTCTTATTTTAGGTGGAAATCTTTTTTCATTAAGTAACTCTGAAAGTGCAATTAAATCAGGTGAGGTAGTAAGGCTGTCCTCTGTACCTGACAATAAAGGAGAGGTGGCATCCCAAAACTCCCAGGGCTGAGTCAGTGGCTCTGGTGTCCAGAAGGAAAGAATTGGATCACTTCCCTGCTGCGTTCTGGGTTCCCTGCCATGTCTGTAGCCAAGCCTAGGTCTGCTGGAGGTCTTAGCTTGATGTACCCATGCATCTTGGTGCCTGGGAGCAGTCAGCTGACTTGTTGTCTTTCTAGGCAGCACTTTTAACAAGGCTGTTGATGGCCTGGCAGGGCATTCTCTAGCCCGTGGCCTTTTCCTCACTTAAAAGAGGGACCCAACAACTTTTGGGAGTCAGCAAGTGCCAGCACTTGGCAATTTTGTTTTCGGACTTTTATTTTTTCCCTGGCACACCTTAAATGCCACAGATGACTCTTGCCTGTGGGGTCAGGAGCCTTGCTCTCCAGATGCTTAAGTTTTAGTCGGGGAGGTCTGGGGAACAAGAGACGAATTTTACTCTATGTCCTGAATTTTTTTTTTTTCCTGCTGATTGATGGCTTAAGGACAGCTTTTGGAAGATCTGCCCGTAGGCAGACTATAAACCGATACTTTCCAGAAGACTTGTCTGAGGCTATAAGCTGATTTTTTTGGCTTAAGAGCCATCCTGACTACTGTAAACTTATTTGTATGGATCTTAGCCGCTTTTAGACCCGTCTGTGCTTCTCAAGGCAGTTTGAGAATGAGTGGGTGGAGTTCAGGTGAGTTAGGGCGAGTCCTAGAAGCCGCCCAAGCCTGCCCATTTGAGCCCGCCCACTGCCAGCGGAAGTCAGACAGAAAAGGTTGCACGTGGAGACGCAGAAGTGGGGAAGGAGCAGGGTTTCAGAACTTTAGCAGAAAGCTTGGAGATAAAGTGACTCTTATTTGCCCGTTCTCTGGCAGAAGATCCCGCGACTCTGTTATGTGGCCAGGTTTACTGGTGCCCGCCCCTATCCGCCAATGTATCTGCCCTTTTGTCCCATGGCTGTAGCCGAGAGAAAAAATAAAAAAAAAATAAAATAACAAACCGGGATCAGACTACAATCTTGGGCGTCCCCAAAGAGTGGAGAGAGATCCATGAATCAGCTCAAGTTCACCATCCTCTTTGTCAAGGGATGCGAAGGGCTGCAGCTGCACCACAGTTGATCCACCCGGTAGACCAAGACAGCATTTACTTTCTCGTGAAAATGTGCCGTTGCTGGTGCAGCTCAAGGACAACCCCCGGGGTGTCCGTCGCAAAGAATATAGCTCAGACTACAGCTGCGTGAGAACAGCGGATTTACTGTGGTGAAGAATCATGGCGGTGGCGGTGTGGGGGTCCAGCGGAGGCGGTGAGGGACGCGAGCGCGCTCGCAGTCTCGCGGTCTCGCTGGATGGGGGAAGAGGCGGCAAGCAGCAGCAGTCAGCAGGTCCTCGGTGTTCGGTGGTGTATCCGAGTCTGAACGGCACCAATGTTGGTTATGCCACGGCGCTGCCCCTTGTGGCTGGTCGGCGGCCATGCCCGCGGAGGAGCGTGCTGATTAAAAGAATCATAGCCATGGTTACCTTTTTAGAGCTTTATTGGCGGGGGGGAGACAGAGAAAGACAGAGAGAGAGAGAGAGAGAGAGAGAGAGAGAGAGAGAGAGAGAGAGAGAGAGACAAGGGGGGAGAGGGAGAGAGGGGGACCGACGGGGGGGGGGGGGGAGAAGGAGCACAAAGGAGAGGGGACAGAGAGAGAGCCCACAGAGGGCCCAACCGCTTTTTAGGCTGGGAAGCCGGCGAAGGCTGATGACATAATTAAAGGACGTAAATAAGGACCAAATCCTTACAGTTATATTTACAGAGGAAAGACAACTGAAAAGAATAAAAGAGCTGGGCACTGTTGCTCCTTTGGTGGCTGGCTGGCGTCTCCTCCACCTCTGCCTTTCTTCTTCCTGTCTCTTTCTTGGATTTCCTCCCTGGCTATAACCTGACTCACCATAGGCCAGAGCAGCTTCTTTATTAACCAATCATAGCAACAGATCCTCACAGCGTACAGAAAGACCATCCCACAGCACTAGATGCCAGCAGACCGGTAATGCCTCGGCCACCTGGCAACATATAGATAAATAGGAATGGGTTGAATTAAGTTGAAAGAGTTAGTTTATATAAACAGAAGCCATAGGCCATACGGTTTGTAAATAATATAAGCCTCTGTGTACTGTGGGATGGTCTGTATGTCAAACGTGTTCCTCTGATTGGTCAATAAATAAAACACTGATTGGCCAGTAGCCAGGCAGGAAGTATAGGCGGGACTAACAGAGAGGAGAATTGAGAGAACAGGAAGGCAGAGGGAGACACTGCCAGCCGCTGCCATGACAAGCAGCATGTGAAGATGCTGGTGAGCCACGAGCTACATGTCAAGGTATAGATTTAGAGAAATGGATTAATATAAGATGTAAGAACTAGATAGCTAGAAGCCTGAGCTATTAGGCCAAACAGTTTAAATAATATAAGCATCTGTGTGTTTATTTTATAAGTGGGCTGTCGGACTGCTGGAGCTTGGCAGAGAAAACTCTTTAGGTACATCTGTGTGTTTACTTAGGACCAAGCAGTTGTGGGATGTGGGTGGGAGAGATTTGTCCCAACTGCGGGGCCAGGCAGGACCAGAGAAACTTATCACTAATGTCTTTAATCTCAGCACTTGAGGGGCAGAGGCGACAGATCTCTGTAAATTTGAGGATAGCCTGGTTTACATAGTGAGTTCCAGGACAGCCAGGACTGCGTAGTGAGACCCTGTTAGAGAAAAACCAAAAATGAAAGAATAAAGGAAATGTGAACATAGAGTAGAGTAGTTCCCAACAGAACATCTCCAGTTCCTGTGAGGAGGTTCAAACAGAGGTGAGGGAGAGGGAGAGGGGATAAGCGCTGTCTCAGAGTTAGGACAAAAGGAATTGGGGGCAGAATAAATGAGATTGGGGAGACAGTGGTGGCAGGGTGGCTCTGTGACCATGCTCAAAGCACTGGCCTTGAGGGCAGTGTGGCCATGGACTTGACTCCCGGAGAGTGTAGTACTGAGGAGGCAGGTCCATGGTCAGATTCCTACAGCAGAGTGAGGCCCCAAGTCGGGTTCTAGATTTTCATGAAATGCAAGAAAAGAGAACAAAAGATCAGAGAAAGGACGAGCTGTGAGGCTGAATAAAGCAAGCCTTCCAAGGCTTTATAAATATGAGAGACATTAAAGTCTGCACCGTGTGGGAGAGGGTGGTTCAGTGGGTAGCACTTGTCTAAGGAGCATGAGGACTAGAGTTTGCATTCCCAGGGCCCACATAAAAGCTGGGCAAGTGTGGTAGCTGCCTCTAACCCCAGTGCCCAGGGAACAAGGACAGAGAGCCAGCAGGAGCAGGCAAGCTGCAGCTTCAGAGAGAACTGCCTCAGTAAACAGAAGTACGACTGAGGAAGATACCCATGCCGGTTAGTTGTTGTCAACTGTACACAAACTAGAGCCAGGAAACAGTGCTCCACTGTGGTCTCTGTTTCAGTGATGGCCTCTAGGTTCTTGCCTCGGTTTCCTTTGGTGACAGACTGTAACCTATAAGCCTGGTAAACCCTTTCCCCCACAACTGGTTAAAGTATTAATCACAGCAACAGAGAAACAAAGTAGGACAACAGCCAACATCAACCAAGAGTCTTCTGTACCTCCACACACTTGCAAGCATGAACATACACATGTCATAGGGTCACCATTGCTGTGATGAAACATCATGACCAAAAGCAAGTTGGGGAGAAAAGGGTTTATTTGACTTACACTTATAATCATAGTCCATCATTGAAGGAAGTCAGGACAGGAACTCAAACAAGATGGGGACCTGGATGCAGGAGATGATGCAGAGGCCATGGAGGGGTGCTGCTTACCGGCTTGCTCATCATGGCTTGCTCAGCACCACCAGGTGAGGGATGGCACCATCCACAATGGGCTGTGCCCGCCCCCATCAACCACTAATTAAGAAAATGCCCTACAGCCAGATATTTTTAATTTGTGTGTGTGTTTGTATGTGTATGTATAAATTTTCTTTACAACCCAATCAAATTTGCCCTCTTTCCCCTCTTCCAAGTTCCTATACCCTCCTCTCCCACCATCCACTCCCCCACTGTTTCTCTTCAGATACAGGTGGGCCTCCCATGGATATCAGTCAGCTATGGTATATCAAGTTGCAGTGAGACTAAGCACCTCCTCTTCTATCAAGGCTGAATGAAGCAATAAAGTAGGAGGAAATGGTCCCCAAAGCAGGCAACACAGTCAGAGACAGCCCCTGCTCTCACTGTTAGGAGTCGCACATGAAGACCAAGTTATACAGCCTCCAGCAGGATCTTTTGGAGACATTTTCTCCATTGAGATTTCCTTCTCTCTGATGACTCTAGTTTGTGTCTGATGTCAATTTGACATCAGACACAGTACAGTACACTCCCACACACCATACTCATATAAAACATTTTTAAACAGTCTGGTGTGCTGGCACATGCCTGTAATCCCAGAACTTGGGAGCCTGAGGCAGTAGGATCTCTTGTGTTCAAGACTAGCTTGAGTAACACTGTGAGACCCTGTCTCAACAACCACCACCTCTCAGCATGTGACAAGTAGAACATGTGGACAGAGAAGTCTGTTCACTAGTTTGGAAAGGCCAGGTCATCTATTTCTTAGAGGTGCAATACGAGAAAAGCATTCAGAATTCCTATCTAAGGAGGAAAGTGCCCAGACTCCTGTAGGTTGTACAGCCAGAATAGGCTTAGAAGGACAGTGGCTTTTCCCCAGAACAAGGATGTCAAAGGCCACACAAATGGGCTGCATCTTGGTGTTGATGCTGTGTCTGTATCCCCAGACACAGTTTTCCCTGTGATATTTCTCTGGACTCAATGTAAGTCAAGCAGAGGTGTGCTGGCTGGGTTTGTGTCAACTGGGCACAAGAGGGTCATTGGAGAAGAGGGAGCCTCAATTAAAAATGTGTCTGTAAGATCTGGCTGTAGGCATTTTCTTAGTGATTGATGGGGGAGGGCCCAGCCATTGTGGGTGGTGCCATCCCTGGGATGGTGGTCCTGGGTTCTATGAGGAAGCCAGCTGAACAAGCCATGAGGTGCAAACCAGTAAGCAGCACCTCTCCATGACCTCTGCATCAGCTCCTGACACAAGGTTCTGGCTCTGTTTGAGTTCCTGCCCTGACTTCCTTCAGTGATGTGGAAGTGTAAGCCAAACAAACTGTTCCTTCTCTAAGTTGCTTTGGCCATAGTATTTTCTCACAGAAATAGTGACCTAAGACGAGAGGAAACTACTTGGGAATATTTCTTAGGATGGAGAAGTTGTGCGATACTGGATTTGTCTCGGTGCTGCTGAGGAGTGAGCAAGATCAGGCGATAGCTGCAGGGCAAGTCCTCCTATGGTTGTGTACCTGGTCCCCAGAGACAGGGAGCACAAGGCTGTGGTATGAGAACAGGTGACTGGACATGGTTGACAGGGAGTAAGGGCCTGGACATGGGAAGGCCTGAAAATAACAACATACCCATAGCACAGGAGCCCAGAGAAGGGATCATGCCAGATTCTGTGAGAGTGGTGTCTGCCCTGTGTGAACCCAGAAATGTCCTTCAATGACAGATACTCAGGCTCAGCTCCACTTCCATGTTAGTGTTTATTACCCTCTTTTCAAGCAAGTAGTTACTACTCCAAGAATAACACAGTTTTGAAACTCTTGGTCCATATTCATGTGAGATAACTATTGTGTGTTCCCAAGCAACTCCAGTGTTCATGAGAAAGAAGAACCCCAGACCCTGTCCTCAGGACCCACATCACAGCCTCCTGGAGCAATAAAGAGGATGCTCAGTATTTGTCAGGCAGTCCTTTAGGTCTGTAGTGATTGGGGTTCTTGCCACTGCGGCCCCATCTGTTTGCTTCCTGGTCAGCCATGGTATCCTCATGTCCACGGCCTATGAGACTCTGAAAGCCCTCTCTTGCATCACTAGGAGAAGCAGACATGGGAGAGATCCATCACCAAGCTGCATGGCCACAGTCCACGGTCTGAGTTTTCCCCCTTTGCATGGGATGGCCTTAGGAGGAACCCAGGAAGGGCCAGGCAGGAGGTCAGCCCAGACTGGTCATCCCACACTAGCTGAACATCACCAGAAACACTGGTGATGATGAGAGTCATTCCCTGTCTACATTTGGGAGCAGGCTCACATAGCATGGCTGTGTGCTAACTGCCCAAACCCAGGGTCTACACTGGGTGTAGATGGAGCCAGTACCTGGATAAGCAAGAGTAGGAGGGATCTGAGATTAGCATGACCCTCTCCAGAGCTAATCTTCTACTACTTCCCCCAGAAGTGTCAAGCCCTGCTACCCAGGTCCAGTCTTCCAATCAATCTATGTTTACCTGATGACTTCAGCAGCCCAGACTCCTCCTGGTCCCCTTTGGGCTGCATCATAGTTCCCTCTAGCATGGAAATATTTGTCTGAGTTTTTCCAGTTGGCCTCCTTCATGTCAGAGTAGGCTCGCCACATATCCCCAGCCCCTAGATGGGAAAGACAGCAAGATCATGAACCTAAAAGCTCTGCCCATGCCTTAGAGAGGAAGAAAGGGATGAAAAGAGCTCGTGGCTTGAGCCTGTGGTCAGAGCAGCTGAGAGCGTGAATGGAAGATCATCTCCTGATCCTCACTGTCGTCTCCTAGTAACTCAGGAGGGCCATTGGGGGGCCCAGCTGCCCTGTGTTCGCCTTTCTTCTACAGTGCTGCTGTGAGCTGCCCCTCACCTGGGTGGGAAGCAGCCAATGAGGCAGCACAGTGTCATTACACATAGCAGGGTGTGTCAGCTTCAGTATCGTGGAAGTGTTTGTTACAGAGTCGTCAGCTTCTGCCACCAGACCTCAAAGCACATTTCCTTAGTAGTGCAACCTAGTATCTCTACAGCCATTGAAAATGCCCTGCGAGCACATCACCTCCAAGCAAGGGCCAGTGTTTCTGGAGGCAGCTACCCTCAGCTAGGAAGTCCCATCCTGAGGTGACTTAGTACACAGAAGGCAGAGGGGGGCTGCACACAGGGAGCATCGACTTTGATCCCTAAGAATTCTGTCCTGACAGAGAGCATGTGCACCACAGTGACACTGTCATCTCTGCCCTTGGACTAGACTGCACAGGTTCTGTGCTGTCTTGAGGGAGCTTTGAAGCAATGATCTCAGCTGTGGCTGCAGGTTCTGATCCTCTGAGGAGACACTGAGAGTCACCATGCCAGGCCACACCCAAAGCCAGTCTTGAGTCTCTAGGTGCAGGGGGATGACTGGTCCAGACCTGGGTGGTATTATAACTCTCTAGGTGATGCCATTGGTACCTTATATTGGTCACAAATGAATTTAGAAAGTGTCCGGCAGACTGACAGACAGGATTGTCCTCAAGCACAGCTGGATTGTGATCTCTGCTCTGCCCCCTGCTGTAGGTAGTGAGTGCATTTCAGGAAGTCTTGCCAGAGTCCCTGGTCCATCCTGACAAGCAGGACAGTGAGTCCAGCTCTTCTGAATGCTCGGGTGTTGTATAACAGGTGGTGTTAATGAGGGTCCATGGAATGAAGACACAGAAGCACCTCAAAGATGAATCTTAGCCTTTTCCAACTGCAAGGTGGATTCATCTCTCTGGACTGAACCACTGTAGCTTAGCAAAGGGCCCTTTTATTGTTATACAATTTACACCTTAGTAAGTCAATTCCATTTACCAAAACCTCTTATCTAAGCCCCCTAAAGGGACAATGCCAAATGCAAATTCTCAGTAAAGGAATACCACAGTGTTTTGGGGTGGTCCTAAACCAAGTTTGCATAGGCTTTAAACCCCTTAGGAAACTCTCAGATAAGACTTCAAACAGAGGGTACCAGAGACAGGAGCTAGCAATCACAAAAGGCAGATCAAAGCTAGGTGCTAACACTCCGGAATCTGCAGGAATTCTCCCAACACTCAGGAGACCCCTAGAGGCTGTGCCTCTCTGCCCCCACAGCCTTACCTTGGTAAGCCTCGCTAAGGAATGAAAACCAGCTTTCACTGCTGACTCCCAGGACCAAGGAGCAGAAAATGAGTCCAGTGAGAAGCTTCATCCTGCTGAAATGAAAGGACAGGCTGAAGGAGACACCCACAGTCTGGCGCCTCCCTCTCGGGTGTCTCATCCACAGACGCCCTGGTTGTTCTGTCTTACTGATGTTCAGTAGTGTCCTAGCAGTGGCCCCTGGAGACCTCACAGCAGGACCCCGCTCAGAGCCACAAGGTCTCAGTTCTGACCCCATCCTGCCTGCTGAACTGTTTATGAAGGCAGCAGGCAGCTCCGATGCAGCTGCAGGAGCAGAGATCACCACTCCCTCCAGGAGCCTCTGATTCAGCAAGAAGCATTGTGCCCCCTCAGCCGGCACAAATCCCACACCAGGTGAACAGAAGTGAGGAATTCCCTTGGGAGGAAAGCACACTTGCTGAAACCCAGCACACACTAAGTATCTGTGCATAGGTTTGTCCCTCACCTGATGTCTGATGGGCAGAGGTGGGTGGCTGTGGCTGTCAGTGAGAGGAGGCTGGTATTTATGCTGAGCCTCCCTGCTGGGGTCAGGGGCAGAGAGAGACTGGCATGGTGCTTGGGGAAACTCCCAGCAGGTCATTTCTTCTAAAAGGCTGCAACAGAAGTCTTACTCCATCCACAGGTCATTTCCTGTAATTGTGCAATGTGAACACACTATACACCTTTGTCTTTTCAGTCTTCTGGGTCAGAGTACATACTTTTTAATACTGATGGAACTGAGGATGCTGAGAGTCAAGGAGTGGCCATCTCAGTAGAGGATCAGGGCTCCTAAGGATAGGAGAATAATTCCTGTAGCCAACACTTGTTTTCCCAGGCATTGCCTCAGGTTGGTTTTTATTTTTTTAACCTGGAACTGACACTTTACCTTCAGTCAGTCAGTCAGTCAGTCAGTCTGTCTCTCTCTCCCCCTCTCTAGTTTTTGAGACAGGGGTTCACTGTGTAGCCCTGGATCTCTTGGAACCTACTCTGTCAACCAAGCTGGCCTAGAACTCACAGATTCACCTGCCTCAGCCTCCCGAGTGCTGGGATTAAAGGCCTGTGCCACCACCGCCCAGCTGGCCATAAGTCTCTTTTTCATGTCTAAACTAAAATTGCAAAACTGACCAGCCAGCCCCACCAGACATTGTGTGTTTCCAAGGCACCTGTAGCATTTTCACTAGCATACTCCGCTCTCAGCTCTTAGGGAGGCACCTCTGTCTGTACGTTCTTTGTGATGTGACAAAAAGATTAACTAAACTGTCTCACAGGGACAAGGTACTAGAGGGGCCCTACTCCTTCCTTAACTCAGTCCTAGGAAGGAGCATAAGGTCAGGGCTAAGGCTTTGGGGAGTAAGGAACTAGGAAACCCATAGAAGGGAGGAAGGAAGTACCATTTCTCACAGAGAAGAGCAGCCAGCAGAGGTGGTGGTGGTGGGGTGAGGGAAAGCTAGGTCAGGCACTGAAAGATGAGCCCAGCTCTCAGGGCTGTATTTCCCAGAGGATCACTCTTAGCCCTCTCATCAGTGTGAGTTGGAAATCTCAGGGTCAGCAGGGGTAGGAGATGAGGGCTGGCATCACACCAGCCTGTCCGTGTAGGAACACAGCCTGCTGCCATCCAGAAAATAAGCTCTCTTGCTCTTCTTCTTCTTCTTCTTCTTCTTCTTCTTCTTCTTCTTCTTCTTCTTCTTCTTCTTCTTCTTCTTCTTCTTCCTCTTCCTCTTCCTCTTCCTCCTCCTCCTCCTCCTCCTCCTCCTCTTCCTCCTCCTCCTCCTCCTTTTTTTTTTTTTTCCGAGACAGGGCTTCTCTGTGTAGTTTTTGGTGCCTGTCCTGGATCTCGCCGTGTGGACCAGGCTGGCCTCGAACTCACAGAGATCTGCCTGCCTCTGCCTCCCGAGTGCTGGGATTAAAGGCGTGTGCCACCACCACCCAGCTCTCTTGCTCTTCTTAAGCAGAAATATTCTAGGGAGAGGGTTCTGGACACCACAGGCAGCCTAGACAAGGTGACATCATTGCAAACTGAAGATGGATGGAGGAGACGGACTGATTCTCTGCCTGAAACTAGTTTCTCGTTCCTCCTCCTTTTGCTGGGCTCAGTTCATCCCAGCAGAAAAGCTCATTTAGTCTCTTCTTTCTGATGTTCACTCTCCTGTCATCCTGCTCTTCTTCCTTGGTATGAGTTTGAAACAGACTTTCAAACTCCCCAGGGTATGTAGCATGTGGGAGGCGAAGAGGGGGCATCAAGATTCTATCTGACTTTACAGATGTCTTGTGTGCACACATGCCATTAGCGAATAAAAGAGGTCAGTTACGGCTCCTGTGGCCTGGCCAGCAAGTTAGGAATCTGACCAATCTACCTTCTTTGTTTGAGGTTAAAGATTCAGAAAGTAGTAACAAAACAAAAAGTCAAACCCAACTGTAGCCTTATGACAGATGATGTTTTGTTTACATCATGATTCCAAGGACTCCCACATTGTAACTTCAGAGTGACAGCAGAAGTTGGGTCTGTACTGTCCCTGCATGTATGTGGTGTTTGTCACACCACCTGGAGGGTGGTCAGCAGCCACTCCTCACCACGTTTGTCCTGGTGGGACTTGCAGAACTGGTACACTGGGCTAACACAGTCCCTGTACTGAAAGGTCCGGCCTCGTGGTGTTTACATTGCAGAGACCAATAAATAAGCACACGACACAAAGCAGGCCACCCTCAGTGTCTGGATTTAAATTATCCCTGGTGATTGTTGGGAAGAAATGGTTTTATGATCAGCCATAGCAACTTTCTGAATACCAATCATTTTCACTCTTTCACAAGATAAAATAATAATAATCTCAGGCTGCAATGATGGCCCAACAGTTAAGAGCATTTGCTGCCCTTTTAGAGGATCTGAGTTTGGTTCCCAGCATCCATGTTAGGCATCTCACAACTGCCCATAATTCAGTTTCAGGGTATCAACACTCCTGTCTCAGCAGGCTCCTGCATGTGTATGATGTACATAAACTCACACAGACATACATACGTACATATTAAATAATAAAAACAAATCTTTAAAAATAATCTCTAGTCAATTTTTACAAATATCAGAGTTGCTAGGAAATACATTCAACAATCAACCGAGGATTTTTGCTGCTGAAGAAAGGGAGGAGGGATTGTATGAGGCAGGGGGTCAAGGTCATGAGGGGGGAACCCACAGAGACAGCTGACCAGAGCTTGTGGGGGCTCATGGACTCTGGACCAACAGTTAGGGAGCCTGCATGGGACCGACCTAGGCCCTCTGCCTGTGTGACAGTTGTGTGGCTTGGTCTGTTTGTGAGGAGGCTCCTAGCAGTGAGATCATGACCTGTCCCTGGTGCTTAGCTGGCTTTTGGGAAACTGTCCCCCGTACTGGGATTACTTCATCCAGCCTTGATGCTTTCAGAGGAGCCCGGTCCTTCCTCAACTTGATGTGCCATGTTTATTTATGCCCAAGGGAGGCCTGCCCCTTTCTGAATGGAGATAGAGGAGGGGTGGATGGGGAGGGGGGTAGATGGGAGGCTGGGGGTTCAGAACGGGAGGAGAGGAGGGAGGGGAAACTGTGGTTGGTATGTAAAATAAATTAAAAATTAATAAAAATAAATAAATAAAATGACTAAAATACCAACTACCTAAGTTCTGACCAATGAACTCACTGATGAATGTTTTGTGTGCAATCCACACTAACACGGAGAGGGAGGGGCTAATTCCATCTTCTCTCAATGATACAACAACTGTGCATGATAAATTCCAAAAGTAAAAAATTGCCTCATTTATCTATGTCTGTGTGCCACATGAATGCCTAGTGCTTCTGGGCCAGAAGAGGGTGTCAGATGCCCTGGAACTGGAGGGAGAGATGGTTGTGACCCACCATCTGAGTGCTGCTAACTGAACCCAAATCCTCAGAACAGCAGCCAGTGCTCTTCACTGCTGAGCCATTTCTCCAGCCTAGGTGGGTGCCTGGCTCCAGGTACAGAACGTTTAGTTCGGGTGCATAGGATGGAGTTATTCTTGATCCTTTGACTTTTAACAAAGCTTCAAAAATGACTTGATAAATTGTATCTGTAGCCTGGCACTGCTGGTGAACACATTTAATCAAAGCATCAGGAGGTAGAGGGAGTTGGTGGATCTCTGTGAGTTCAAGGCCAGCCTGTCCTACAGTGCAAGTTCCAGGACAGCCAAGGCTACACAGAGAAACCCTGTCTTGAAAGAACCAAAAAAAAAAAAAATTATGTCTAGAAGTGAGTTTTTATTTGAACCAATTTTTATGGTTTCATAGAACAATGTGGTTTGAGCACTCTGTAACGCACTATCCCTTTCACAAATGTTTTCAGAGGAGAGTACCAGCAATTTGTGTATAGGACGCAGTTATCTGCTGGCCCACACTGCAGGTGGACTCCAGATTCCAGTCACTGTTGCAGACAGTAGGGTGGAGACTGAATCTTCCCTCTCTCTGTGGTGTCCTTTGCTCTGATTCTTTCCATCACATAAAGCCCAGCAGGCTGCAGAAGGCAGGAAGACTGTGGAGAAGTGCAGAGTTGTGCACACAGGGTCTGCTGGTTTCTTCTGATGCTCCTGGGTACTTCTCACTCACCAGGTCAAAAGGATTTACCCTTCACTGTGGGTGCCAGCTTTGGAAGGGACACGTCTCAACAGAGCTAGGAGTCTATTCCCTTCACCACGTCCTTTAGAACAGCACACATGTGACTGGCTTGTGAGAAGAGGCTCAAGAGGGACACCCTTCCCTCTGTCCCTCATGGCTGTAATGGGCTGCCTGCTGCCAAGAACGGGGGAGGAAATGGACAGTCGACTTGACTGCTAAGCCCCTGCTCTGAATTATTTTATTTCTTGTTTTTTCTTCATGGGAGATAGCAATCTTAGGCTGTATGTATCCTCTGCTTTAATAGTTCCTTAACTGAACTTTTATATATACACTCCTTCATATATTTTTCTATTTATTACCCATTTTGTTATTAAATACCTAGGAGAGTTGTCTTAAGCAAACATCACCATCCCCTCATTATAAGTCTCACATTCATGAAATCATGGCCTCCACTGTCTGTCCAACATCTACTTCAGTGACTGTTAAATAAAAGACCAGTGAATACTTGTCCTGTGATTAAACAGCCATGGGATAAAACCCAACACCTTAGTCACTGACACACATGAAAGTATAATGGAGCAGAAGAACTCCTGTTGCTGACACCATAGCCTTGGGATCGCCATATACCAGGGTACTGCTCACATGTGGATGGCACTGCTGTATGGAAAACTACTGTGCTGCCATTCACATGAAACCGCAGCACACAGAATT